AGGAAAATGTAGACAGAAATGACAGACACAGGCGGCCTGTTATCTTAAGACCCTTTAATCTAATAAGGAATCAACAAATTAAAAACACTTCCATGTATTACATAAAGTTTGCAAGAATTGTCAAATTTGTATCTTAAAAGATTCATTGATTTATGCATTCATTGACTTCTGAATTCGTGTGAACTATAGACAAATAGATAAAAAGTTTAACCCAAATCTGATTTACAAAAACACAAGAATTTGAAAAATGTTTGGACTCCAGAACTGCTGTTAAGATTGGGTGAGGAGTCGCGCCTGAAATTTGACACAATCTTGAAGGGACCGGATGTGACACCTAAGGCTCCGTAATATTAAATATTTATTAAACAAATTTACAAAAAGTCTGTTTAGAGAGGCATTGAAAGTGTCTTAAAGGAAAGATTGAAATGTTTGTCGAGAGTGAAAGAGAGTGAAAGAGAGGCGGCATTGAGTCGCCGATAAAAGTCGAGTAAAGATATAATAAACTTCGTGTCACTTATGATATAAATCCTAAATAACATAAAGTTTTTTATCTGGACTTCAATGAGTCTCTCAAACAATTTGCAACTTTCAATGGATATTAGTTTGACTCAAACAGACTGTGGCTATAGATGTGGTGTTTATTGAGAAGTTACTTGAATAACTTATGTGTTTAGTTGTATTTCATGAAGTGTACGGTATATCTAATGATATGATAGACGATATGTTGGATATGTGTTGATGTCATGCAAATGTGTACCACTATTACAGTGTCTGCAACCTCTATGATCAGTGGGATGCATGTGTGGACACCCTCTAGGATAGGGGCTTAGGAGGTGGGCACTTGGCCTGGTATGCAGAGTAGTCTACTATCCATTAGTTAGGAGAGTCTCAACAGTTGGGCTGAACTGAGGGAGAGAGAGGACAACATTCCTGTATTCCTGTATTGGTTCTGACATTGAAAACAGTGAATGAATGCATTGAATGACTGAATGAATGATTGCAACAAATGCTGACTTATGAGCGGAAAAGCAGCCAAAAGTGCACTCTCTTTGTGTTATTCAATGTTTTCAATGCATGTGTTTTTCGCCATCCATGGCTTAAATGCCTGAACCCAACCACAGACTATGCCCGGACCTAACCCTATGACCACCACTGCCCTCAACAACCCTAATGGCAATCTTCTCAACACATCCACATCACGAAGGGATGGCCTGTCAGTCCATGTTCACCTGAACCACAACCACCAAATGGCAGCACTTCCCGACCAAAGCAGCGATTTATTCACCGATCGGTCGCCAAACATCATACAAGTGAGTCCTCGCATCCCATACCCTCTCACATGCCATTCCTCCACTGAATACGTGTTCACAAACTGTACTCTTCTTTGTTCTTTGTCTGCAAACTTCAAACTTATTGTTTAACTTTTGATTAACTTTTCGTTTATTTGTTTAGAGCTCTCATAAGAACTACGAAGAGGTGGCACTCATCGGGTCCGGCGCTTACGGAACCGTATATAAGGCCCGCGACCTCAACAACGACG